AAAATATTAAAACTAACTTTACTATTAATTCTTCGAACAACATTCAGCATTTCTGGTTTAACCCGCTTCCATTAACTCCTATGGTGGGGATCTTTTGCGAGAGAGAGAGAAAGGAACAGAAATGGGTTCCAAGCACCACTTCAGTACTGCATTAAACAATTTTTTATCCTTTCGAACTGACTTTTTCTAATCCCTTTTTATAATTCTTATTATTTATTTGCTAGATTTGAGTTTTAATTATATTTTTCTTTTTTCCAATTTAATTAAAAATTCAGTTTAAAGATTCAACACAACGCTTGTTATTGTCCAAGATTTCCCAACTTTCGATTTTAAAACTGCGAATAGCATTTGTAGGAAAAAATATGAATGAGCAGTATATTTCTTCGATTCGGAACAAGCATTGTGGATCCAATTTCTCTCCACTCACTGAAAAATTTGTTGAAGTGCGAATGGTACTGGGAAATTTCCTTAAAAATGGATGATAATGAGCAATAAAAATTTGGTCAAGAAAAACGCTAATTCAAATGGTAAAGAAAAAGCACTTTCTAATAAAAGAGGCAATTTCATTTCTCAGCGCCGATTACATGATTTGCAAGCTTATATCAAAAAAAGAGCGACGAGTGGTGTGTTTCTTGAATTCGTCTTAGAACAAACATCATGGGTTCTATTTCCCCTTGATGGGAGTTATTGCTAAATAAGAAATTTGCCGGTCTAGGCCTTCATCTATGCACAAGTGTGACTGGCGAATGAGTGGCACCTCAGTAATAAGTACCAAAGTCAGTCAAAATTCATACCAAGTGTTCCTAGAAGGGAATGAAAAAAAATATTTATCAAGATATAAGAAAAAATAATATAAATTTCAATAATATAATAATAAAATAATAATATAAAATAAATAAAAAAAATTTTCTCAATTTAGTGGAAATAAAAGCAAAAAAAACATTATCATCAACTGCTTTGCGCTGCAAAAATATCTCAGTAAATGATTCAATTACCCATATGTTGTGCTATTACAGTGATTTATCAACTGATCAATCTATCAATCAAATGATTGAAAAAGAATTGCCGATAATATTGCGATTTCACTGACTGATATAATTTTTTTCTAGCAACACATTGGAATGGAATAATTTTAATTAAATTGTTGCATAATTGTTAAATTACTCAACCTCCAGTCGTTTGCGTTAAAAATGAAATTCAGGTGTTGTTAGGAACTCATATGCACTTCTATCTATCTGCGGCTCTCTGGCGAAGTAGTTTCGCGCTAATAGCAAGTGGATCCAGCCAAACCAGGAACGTTGTCAGAAGAAGGAAAAGAATTCATGAAATCTTTGTTTTGTACACTGATTTTAGCAATTTCTGTGCGTGCAGAAATTATGGTAATTAAATATAAAAGATAAATATTTAAAGTTCATACTAAAAATATATTTCAAAGACAAAAAGGGAAATGAAAAGTTTTATGAAATGAAAAATTTTTTTCTATACTATAGTGGTCAAAAAAACTTTATTGATGCATCAATCACTATTCTTTGGCGAAGGGATTTCATTCTGAGTCCTAACTATTTGCTCCATTGTTAGTTAGGTTGGTTATGCTGGCTACAAGCCGCTCGATCCAATTACAACTATTGATCGAACCTTTGTATTTCAATGCCAACATTCGGCGTTAAACATTAAATATTACCCTTAATAAAGCATAAATGCAAGTAGTTTTTCTGGCAAAGAAACCAATAATTACGATGGCAAAAACAGTTCGTAAATACTCGCTAATTATGAAGGGCCTTCAAGCCGTTAATTTTAGCAAAATTTGGTATTTTTATAAGAATCTCATCTGTTTGGGATTATTTGGGATTTGTTTGTTTGGAAAAATTAAATATACAAAGCGATTAGAAAAAGTTTTCTAACGTAATTCAGGAAAATATAAATATGCAGTGCAGCACCAAATTTGCCGACTTTTCACTTTCAATGACAAATTTATTCCCATTTAGAAACATCCATGTGGTTTGATTTCAGCAGAATGAATACACGGCTAGCCAATGTGATATTTTTCAGCCAAAAATTATAATAAATTTCGTGAGTTTTAGAGTGAGTGAGAATTCATTTCGCCACATGTCGTTCATTAAATTGGCATAAACTGACAAAGGATCCATCAAAGGATACAAAACATTCGTCCATTATTAATTCATCCAATCTTTAAAATTTAAAATTTTTATAAAACTCTACAAAAGACTTCTGATTGACAGTTTGCTAAAATTTCCGGCTAAACCTCGTTATAAACGTATGGTTATTGCCAAGGTTCTTCCAAATAAACAATAAATACATCTAAACATCGTCGTCAAACGAAGAGTGTTCATACTAATTAAATTACATTTTTATTTTTATTAAAGAAATATTGTATCATATTTGGATGACCTATGACCCTAAAAAAATATAAATTAAGTTACTGATAACTTGACGGATAAATCTGTTTAAAAAATGAAAAAATCAAGATAAACAAAATAATCGAAAATCATTCTTTCGCTGCAAATTCAAATATTTGCATAAGTGAAAATAAATGGATCAGTCCGAATAATGCTGATGACCACATATGCTTTCATTTTCCTTAAATAAAGGAGTCTCATCCCAATAACCAGCAAAATAATTGAACTGCATTCTGGTTAGGCTCGATCTCTTCGTACAGTGAGAAATTTTCGCAAAGGATCCAATCAACAGTAGAAAGACAAGCAAGCCGTTAGCACTCCAGTTTTTTAATAACAGATTTACTCTTTTACGAAGCAGGAACAGAATCTTGACGATAATCTGAGCAAACAATCACTTGGCTATTCCAACTTTATAACAGCCAATAAAGGTAACAAAATCAGTACCATGAAATGCAATAAAATATGGGCCCAAAAAGATTATAAATACGACAAATAACTTAAAATACAAAACATTCAAGGACAAATTCAAGGATTATCAATGATGTAAGCCAATCAATTATTGTGGCTTTAATTAATGAATGGTTCAATTAACGTAAAAGTTAAAAATCGGAAATATTGTAAATGAAGCGGTGAATTATTGGCTAAAAATTGAATTTATATATTATTTGTTTATATTAGATTTTATTCATATTTATTCAACATTCAGCTTTAAATTGAATTGGTTTCTGAAATCTCAAACAAATCATCAATCTTCATTCTCTTAAAATAGTTTCCAAATTTTTAAGATAAATTTCTTCTTCATATTCTAAGCATTTCTAGTTTGGCTAGTTCACTGGAATAGGAGGCTTTCACCAGAGTGTCACTTCAAGACAGACTTAAAGGTAACTTCTCAAAGCTTAATGGATTTATTTTCATTGAATTTATGCTCGACTTCAATCGAACAACATATTATTCGACACCTCTGCTCCGATAACAAGTATTATTCATGTAAGAAGTTTGCATGTCAAACCAAAATCCAAAATATTTTTGGCCAAAAAATTTGTTGCCTATTTAATAATTATTTTAAACTAATTAATTAAAACGAAAATTATCACATTTTATAAAGGTAAGCCATCATTTGTTATTCTTTTCCTCCTTGACAAGGGTCACTAAAACTGAAAAAGTGAAATGTAGATTTTGCCGATTATATGTCGAGAACGCACCACATAAAATTTCTTAAAATCTTCAAATTTAAATTTTTAAAAATAAATTTAAAATAAAATAAAAATTTAAAAGAATAAAATTTATTTTATTTGTTTTGTTTATTTATTTTATTTTAAAAAAAATTATTAAAAAATTTTATTTTAAAAAAATTGCACTAAATGATAGTTTTTTAAATGATAGATTGCAGGTGGAATGATAATTTAAATTTTCAATTAATTTGCCGCAATTTCAGTAAAAAAATAATGGCTAAATTAGAATTGAAAAGGGATTTCCGAGAATATTTATATATAAACATTTGGTTGCGAAAGACATGGAATTCAATCGCTTAGCCAATGAAAACCAATGAAAATTAAAATTGGATGTAAAATAAATATTTTTAATTAGTTAGTTTTTTGCCTTTGCTTATTAATAAACTAGAAAATTATGTGACATTTTAATGATCATTGGAACTTGCGAAACTTATAATAAATTTATAATAAATAGTAGTAAATAACTTAAAATATAATAAATAACTTATAATAAACTTATAAAAAATCTTATAATAAATTCTTAAAATGAGCTTATAATGAGCTATCAACTTTTCGTCTATCAAAATGAGCTATCTATCAACTTTTCGTCCAAAATTTTGACCAAATTGCTAAACGATATGCTAACAGAAATAGTAAAATCGGAAACAGAAAGACATACGTGAAATGCGTTAGGGTGGTGCAATTTTCCTTCTTCACTCTTCGCATCCACGAAATGTTTCGATGTGCTGGTTAAGCACATCTTTCTATTTCAGGCATCCTATTTTCGTTCAATCTCAGTTCCACAGCAAATAGATCACTATATTCTGTTTGATCTCCTTAATTAAGGAATATCAATAGTTTGAGCTTAAAAATCCATCGCTATAGAAGCACTCTTTTTTTTTTTAGTTTGCTTCCTCGGTTTGTAAATACGTTGCCTCCAATTTTCTTCTTATTTCTTCTAACGGTAGAACTCGCTTATTCGATTCAGAAGCTGGCGTTTCGCAAAATTCAAGCTCACTTTTGCACCTTTCAAAGGACTAACAATTGTTATACGCTAGGTTTAAACATGGGGCGGATGAACGCACAAACACCAAACATGAACCCAGTTAAAAATAATTCTCTGTTGCTTTCACGGGAAATCACTCTTTAATAACCCATTTTAAAAGAATCGCAACAAAGATATTTGCAAGGATTGACGCATTTTCTAGATAGGTGAAAAAGGCTCCATTTGTTCCAAATCTTTCTTCTTCTAACAACAACAAAAAAAAAAGGACTATATGAGACTTGTAATAAACGAAGAAAATAATTTCGAGAACTTGGGAAAAACTTCAAACTCTACTCTACTCTAGAAATAATATTAAATAAACTAATAACTTAGAAGGCAAAAAAATACTTGCAAAACCAGCATTTTACATCGAATACACTCGAAAATTTGGCAAAAAGAGTGAAAATATAAGAAAGCGTATGCGCATTTCGAAAATCCATGCAAGGCATTATTGTCTGCATCAAATGAATATTGGCTTGCACGCTCATTTTGCGATAAACTATGTATCGACTTTCGCGAAGAATATCAATCTGAAAAACAAACTGACAAATGAAACATTTAAAGTGTAGAAAAAATTAGCACTTTACCTATTGAAAATTTCACACAATTATCCAAATGATAAACCTGTCTATGAGAAGCATCCATGTATGACCAATCTTCATGAGGCGCAATAATTTGCACAAATTCAAATACTCCATTGTTCACAACAATTAACATTTTCAAAAGACACACATACTGCTTCTCAACATAATGACCAAATCTAAGCTGAAAAAAGAAACTATACTTTTTTGTAAAAACATTTATTAATTATTAGTCTATTAATTATTAATTATAGTCTAATTAAAA